CTCTCTCTCTCTCTCTCTCTCTCTATCTATCTATCTATCTCTATCTCTCTGTGTTCGGTTTTTGAGCACGGTAGGAAGTGAAGGTGATTCGTCACGTGACTCGTAATGCTCACGATTTTTTACACAAATGTTGATTCCTCTTTTATCGAGACCTTGCAGTGATATTTTTTTTTATTACGTATTAATGGTTGATTATCGTGTATTTCCTGTTTCCTTTCTATTTTAATGTAAAGGAGAAAAATCAATCGGACTGAAAATAACTTCATTGATTTAGAATTTACCGAATCCGTTTTGATGTGTTTTATTGTTTGTTCTCGAATATTATAGTAAATTTTGTAATTGTGACAATAATCAATTCGTATGAAAAACTAATTAAAAACAACAAAAACAAAAAAAAAAAAACAAAAAAACAAAAAAAACAAAAGGCAACCACTCTCTAGATTATTTATATTAAGCCTTTATCTCGTATGCAGTATTGGTAATGAATTCCGAAGCTCTATGAGTACCATTTGAATTTGAAAGGCATGATGTAATGAAAGAAGATAGGATATTCAGTCATGATAATATTAGAGGGAGAACGTATGCGATGAATCTGTCAAGTGTCTTACACTTTAAAACTTAATAACGTTTAAAGTCTTACGTTTATCTTCCTTATATTTACCCGTCTCAATCAACTTTATCAACAGCGAAATTTACTTTTTATAAAAAAAATAATACGACTTTGTCATAAATTTCCTAAATTTTATTATTGTCTTTGATGGATTTTTATGATTAAATTGTCTTAATGCATGAGCGTTCGATAAATATTTAACCTATAAAATCTTTTTATTCGTTAGGCCTATAACGTTGCAATGTTGTATTAAAAAATTTTCATTTCAAAATATTTTCTCAAATTTGTATTTATAACATTATCAATAATACAATAATACTAATTGAATTAGTGATTAGTTATTTATTTATTTATCCATATTATTATTATTATTATTATTATTATTATTATTGAAACTATCGTTACTGTATATTCATTTATTTTTATGCTTGTTATTTTGTACCCCAAATCGAATAGAAATGAAATTATAAGTGCCAATTATTCGAAGACCGTGCGAACGATTAAATAAAACATTAATTTAGACATTTTTGTATGGCACATCGTTCATCCACAAGCGTATTGTGCACACTTTAGATAGAGAATGAGTAGCTTTAACGAGGAAATGTCAAATTGCAGCATAAGTGAATGGGAATTAAGGGCCTCTGTGTCACTCATATCTCTTCAACTTGAAGACCAGACGTTTTGTACATGTGTATTGTTCAGAAATTTATTTATAGACGTATCTCGTACTGTGATCCCTTGAATAGCCGTGAGCAATCAACCGGAATTTTTATTGTGTCTCAATTCGAATATCAAATAGAGGGAATCGAGTATACAAAAAAAAAAGAAGAAAAAAAAATATGTTCCTTTTTTTTTTGTTTTGTCTTTTTCTTTTTCTTTACTTTATACACGAGTGTGAACATTATTTTTTTGTCGAATAAGCAATTCCGAATCAGTACAATTTTTGTTTTCGATATTGCTTGAAAGACGATATATTTCACTAGTCGTCAATTATAATGAATAAAAATTCTTTATTCAAAAGCCTTATAATGTAGTACTATTAGAATATTCATAAAAATAAAAAAATAAAAAAAAAATCAATATATGAAGAGGTAGAGTCACATTATCACTATTTTATCAGATTTTATTGTATTTTATCACAACGATTGGTAATATATTTTAATATCTAAGCAATAAATTATATTTTAAAGAAGGTTTAAGTGTGTTTTTTCTTCACGAAACATTCTCATGTCGAGGAAAGAAAAATATATTGTATATTGATTGAAAATTAGTTATTTAAAGAGATTCCGTTCAATGTAAACTATATAGTTAAAGTGTCAGAATGTACTATGTGGATAATGTCAATATAACATTTTGTACGATATCGTTAGACTTTATGTGACAGTTTCAACAAAGTTACAGTTATTTATAGATGTATTTAAATGCACGGAAGATTTAATTAAATTTTAGATATTTCATTGGCATAATAAATTTGTTGTTGCTTTGCTAAAATAAATATTATCATATTTTTAACTTACACGTTACATGATAAATAAATAAATTAAAAAAAAAAAAAAAAAAAAATCATCAGAGATTTTCAATATTGTTTCTGAGAGAGGTGATAATAAAGAATAAGTAGCACTCTGGAATATAAATGCAAATAGATTATCATTATAAGTTATAAAATTATATACTTAATCGTACTATGAATTATTTTTATCATTTTGAATTGGTATATTTAAGGAAAGTCAAGGATAAGAGAGTGAATAAAATAATTTGATTTGCTCAATTTTTTTCCTATCCTCGTTTTAATTGGTAATTGCTTGAATACATAGAATTTTGAAAATTTTTATTAATAAAAAATAAAAAAAAAAAAAAACCCCAAATTATAATACAAAGTTTAAATTATCTTGATATCGATGGAATTAAGCATGAAATTCGTAAAAATATATTACGATCGAGATTAGGTTCATTGTACGATAATAAATATTGGTCATATAAAAAATTTCCACGTTTTCGTCAATGTAATCGAGCATTGTAATAATTAAAAATACAACAAACGCTTTAAATTATTAAATTTTTCGACTCGTGGGAAAGTCGTATGAGATCTTATTCCCTAATTACTTGCAGCGCTATTCCACCGTCTCTGATTAGATAAATAATATTTTGCAGAAACTTTCGATTACGACGAATTAACATATGCCGAACGCTTTTCTTTTCACACGCCTAACATTACATTCGGCAACTGTGCTTAATTGTAGTCACTCCAATCCAAGAAAAGCAATGTAAGATCGTGATTAATGATGTACAACGAGGCAATATTATTCGAAGAATCGAACCTACACAGTGCAATTATCATAAGAACTATGAAAGCAAAAGAAAATTAAGAAAATTTCTACCTATCGGCAATTATCCTGATGAAATGTCGACTGGAAGAATATAATCACTCGTCAAAGTTCCCCATCCATCCAGTGGCCAAATTATGATAATTAATTATAAGGCCGACTGGCGGAAACCCAAACTGATTGTCGTAATAAAAGACAGACACGATTAACGTGGGCTTAACGCGATCTTAACGACATCTTAACGGATTAGTGTAAGAAATGTCGGGAAGTCCCGTGCAGACGAGTCGCGGATGGGAGAAGGATTAGCGAGCTCGGGAGGGTGAATCGCGGCACGGTGGATGCTGTGGCCCGTACTCGGGGATGAGGGCCTGAGGCCTCCCTCGCCGCCGCTACCGCCGCTGCCGCAGCCATCAGCTCCGAGGCCCGCATCGAAGGCCTCCAAGTCCAACAAGCTGGTGCCCTTACTGCTCTGCGCACCCTGCAAGCCAACACAACGCAAGCGACAATCCACCACGAGGTGGTACGTCCAGCAGGTAATGGAGTACCCTCAACGAATTGAGGCCCCACTACGCGAACCCCGTAGGCACATCCTTGATCCGGGCTATTTATTTTTCGCGACCCGATACTGTCTGGCGAATCGGCCGAGCGGCCGACCTTTGCCCTCTCGATTCTTTAGCGTATTTCGCGCAAGAGCGATTCAAGCATAACTAGTGCGCCTGCCTGTCTGCCTGTCTGCCTGTCTGCCTGTCTGCCTGCCTGCCTGCCTGCCTGCCTGCCTGCCTGCCTGCCTGCCGTGCTTTCACTTTTCTTTCATCATTTCATTTTTCATTAAAATCTCATGCATAAAATTGCAATTTTGTTGTGTGTTTTGCATTTTGTGTGTATGCGTAGTAGTAGTGCGTGCCTATTATCAAATGGGCTTGAAATATGATTTAATATTATCATCCTTGGAGTAGTCCTACTGTCATTTCTCAACGAATTATTGAATTATAAGCAGTGTCGTATTATTAAACGTCATTATTTATAATTTATACTTATCATTAATTATTCCATTACTTATCTTTTTTTCTTTTCCCATCTTCCCAATAAATCAAATATGATATGTTGTAACAACTTGTCGCATGATTACGCAATAGTTTATTATAGGCCAATTTGTATAAGTTTATCTCATAGCGTCGAGCTCCATCCATAATCTCGGCAATCTTAATATATAAATATAAATATTTGAGGCTCTTATAAATTTTTCTTGTCAATTTCTTGACAAATAAGAAAGACGACAAAATGTTGAGCTCAACTTCATTTACTTCTTATTCATATTAATGAACTTGTAAAATAAAAATAATTTAAATTAAACATTAAAGTTGAATGAATTTAATCGACAATATTCTTATTATATTTTAGTTTAATTAGCTTAATTATCAATATGATTATCAACGACTATCAACCCTCTTCGTTCACTCAATCATATGATAATTCAAATATTCGATATTTTCTATATGAATATTATTCAAAAATCATAGATGAAGTTATACAATATTTTAGGGTTATTTTAAGTTTAAAATCATATGACCCAATGGTTACGTGGTTATTTATTCTGTGTACTATCGAAATTTTCTGGACATTAAAAAACAGTTTTACAATATAAAATTATTATTATTCGTAAATGTTTTCCCAAATTCGTCAATTTAGAAGTTCGAGGAGATTTAGGAGTAATGGAAAGTTGTTAAATACTCATTATTTTAATATTAATTTTTATATTTATTATTGTTACTTTTACATAAATTAGTGCACGAATACATAGTCAATGTCACTAGTTTAAGTACTTTACGAAGGCTTATTGATTTATTGTATTACGTGCTTGAAACACGAGCTGGTTAAATTCATAAATAGTTTTTTATTCACGAATAATTAAATTGAAATATAAATCATTTGGCGTGCGTGAAAAGGTATTTACGAGCTGTTTAACAATTGTTCGGCTTTTCGCATTTTCATTTCAAAGTGTTTTTTTTAAAGGCTGACGACGTATTCAGGTATCGGTACGTTTACACAATGAGTCTTCACGACTTTCTATTTGTAATAACTACCATACCGTAAATGGGCTTTTTTTTTTGTTTTGTTTTTGTAATTAAATTGCCCTGATATACTTTAATGAAATTCGTAATCGTCGGGCAAGATTAACGAGGCTACGTATAATCGAGTTAGATCGAAGATCGAGACAATTGTGCGCATTCCTTGCCAATTATCAACCGAATAAAACGAGTATTATGAGCTGGCCAAGGTTTATAAGCGCTGTATTTGGCGAGCGTAAACAATAGGCTGTGCCAACGCAATCGCGTCATACATTTTTCCACCATAAAAGTCGCACGATAAGCTCTCGTTTCATTTTCTTTTAACTTATTGTTATTAGTTTTTGTTTTTAATTTTAGTTTCTTTTAGTTTCTTTTTCTTGATTTTCTCTTAACTCTCTACGTACGACGATTTTCCGCGCGTCTCGATTTTACAATGCGCAATAACGTCGCGAGGGGAGCGATAAATGCCTTGCGGGCTTCTTACATTGCCGCGCCGCCTCGATCACGGACATTCACTCGCAATGCCGTGTGATGATCGAGCGGCCGACGGAAGCGGGGGGTTCATCACTTGGCTTAGAAGAGGATGAGAAAAAGTCGCCGTCCCTGTTCAGCGGCGCGAGGCCGATTCTCGCTCGTTACCTCCACTGGCCTTGAGACCGTTTCGTGGGGCTACTTTTTATTTTTGGGCGTTTGTTTTCTTTCGTCGCGCGAATCGACCGACATTAATGACTCGTCGTAGACTGGCGCGTGTTTCCATCGGTCCCTTACGACTTCTTCCTCCCCTGCACCTTCGATATTATCCATCTCTTACTCAACTCACTCACGGTTGATCAATCCTTCCTTTGCTACTCCAATTTTCCCGTCATTTTCCATCTATTGCGAGCTAAATTCTTTAATTTCATTACTCAATTATGGAAAATGGAATATCACTTAATTTTTTTTTTTTTTTTTTTTTTTTTTTTTTTTTTTAATACTACAATGCATTAAATATTAACAATACATTGAAGCTCATCGCAGCTCGTACCGAAGTTTTTTTTTTTTTTTTTTTTTTTTTTTTTTTTTTTTGAAATGTTAAAATTCTTATAAGTAAACGAATCATAATAATAATGATAAAAGAACACGATGCTTTCTTTTTGTATTTTTTGTATTTTTTTTTTATTTTTCTTTTCTATAAATCGGAAGCGAACAAAGTATAAAATGTGAATTTGAAACGAAAGATTAAGCAAAATATATAAATTATAGAATAGGATAGTAATTTTTTTTTCTATTCCTACAATTTTATGGCGGACGACAATATTACGGATATAATGGTATATAGGAAAACTTTTGATAAATGACAGAAAAGGACATATAATGTATTTAATAATATTCGTTTGATTAATAGAAAAATAATAAAGAAAATGATAAAAAACAAGAAGTCGTAGGTTACAATAAAATGTAAATTAAAATATAAAATCTTATAGGCTGAATGGGACATATCGTGAATTATACAGAATGTTTATAATGTTTATAAAATGTATCCATTATAATATTAACGAATACTTTAAAGTATCTAAATTCTCATTCGTTATTCCATTTTATCAACCCGTTCTATCTCGTGTTGTTTTATGTAACGTAATTTTAAGGGAACGGACTTAATATCTATCCGAGATCACTCGATATCAGAATAGACGATGAAAGGTTTCTGAACTCGCAATGCTATCGCGTGATGTATTTCATTTTACGCTTCGGAAAGCCTCGTTTATTATTATTACGGAATCATTAATTAATAAATGGAATAGAAATACAAAATTTAATTTAAAATACTGGATGAAGTAATCGAATGAAGAGACATTGTCTTTTACGTATAAAGTCAGTATGTTTTTGATTGCCAATCAACATTCCACTCCTGCAAGCTTTGCTATCGTACTTCCTTAATGAAATCATGTTAGACTAACGGTAAATAAACATTTAATTCTCGTTTGATAATTCTTTTTCACTATTCTTTTAACAAATTAATTTTTCATCTTCTGTCCGCATAACATGGATTTTGCATATTTTATATTATAAGAAATCGCCATTCACGCTCCAATATCTGAAAATTTATTATTTTCTTATAATCAATGAGACGATCGTATATTTGAAATTTGAAATTTGAAATTTTTAAAATCCTTTAAAAGCTTTGCCGCTTATCTGAGATTATTAAATCGTTGAACTAATTCGGTTGAGCAATATATCGTAAAGTTTATAATAATCGTTGCAAACTTTTTCTTTCATTTTTTTTTTTTTTTTTTTTTTTTTTTTTTTTTTTTATTCAACGGTCGTACAACATTCTTTCGATTATGTCAATATTAATTTCCACCTGTTGTATAGATTTGCTTTTTAAAAACGCCATTTATTTAAAGAAATAATTATTGGCGCCAATTGTCATAGAGGATTGATTGGCATGGCAATGTTGGCAAACGTCAGAAAATTCGTTTTCACGAAGTTTTCACTCAATGTGTCATAAGGGGAAATCGCGAGTACGCAAGATATGAATAGACGATGGTAATGAACGGTAATTTAAAAAAAAAAAACAACAACAAAATCAAATGGAATCGTGTAATTCGAAATTCCCGGGGTCAGCGACCGTCATTGACGTTGCGATCGACGGAGCCTGAGCCCTGAAAATAAAAATAAAAAAAGAAGAAGAAGAAGAAAAAAAAAATCCGAGCGCCACTTTAGCTGATAATTGCCGGCGACCTTGGAGCTACGCCTGCGCGACCTGATAACGACTGCACTTACTCATCTGCCGTGGATCGTGGGTCTTTGTCGTTTCGTGACGATGAAATAAGCAAAAAGTGGGAGTACAACCTCGTCACTTTCATTCTCCTTTATACTTAAAGTCATGGCTATAATTAAAGACATCCGTCACGCGATGTAATCCAAGATGGGATTCGTTATGTCTCTTCGAGCCGACTCGCATTCAATTCACCTCTGACTAATGCTTTTATCATTACACGCTCGCGACGTTGTACGTACGCCTGTCTATTTTTCATTTCATTTTTCATGGGAATCGCTCTGAAATTTATAAACTTTGATGCTTCGTCCTTGTATCAGGTTAATTATATTACCTCCACGTTGTTCGGCCCATCTCCTTTACTATAAATTTTATCATCATTCCTTTTTGCATTCTCGGCTATTTCATTGAGAAGTTAGCGTAAGAAATGTTATTGTTTAACCGATGCTAAAAGCATCTACGATTGCTCCTTTGAATAATATTTGCTTGCTTATCTGCGTTAGCTGCGAGAATTTAAATACCAATTCAAATACGAATACTCAAGTCAATAATATTAAATTATGATAGAAAATCTCTGACTGACCGAAACGACTAAACAGATTTATTTATTCTTCGTAGCTCTTGTAAAAGTTTATTTACAATTGTATTCGTTAAAAATTTAATTTCAATCGTTAAGAATGCACATTCTTACAAGTTGAAGTGAAAATTTTAGTATTATAAAAAAAAAATAAATAAATAATAATAATAATAATAATAAAAGAAAAAAAAAAAGGAAAAAACCAACAAACAAACAAACAAACAAACAAACAAACAAATTATCGTATGACATATTTGAATGGATTCTTATTTAGTAGGGAAATTATATATATAATTCGTTATGTCGATCATCGTACAAATATACACATAAATAATGGCTTTGAGAAAGAAATATTATTTATCGTGGGAAGATTTTGGCAAAGATTTTTATATAGATTAATGGTTATATTGAGGAATAATATAACTCATCGATATGCGCAATATTTACAAGCGGCGCAACACTTTTCAATTCAATTCGCAAACGACAATCGCTATTATGATATAATGTCGATACATCGATCAAACGGCCACATATATATCACTCAACGTGCACGTAACTGATCGTTATGCATTAATGATCTTATGGTTATTCATGATTGGAAAACCTGAAAATCGGTTAGGCACGCTCGTGTGTAGATAACAGAGCAACGTTAGTCAGAGCGAGCAGACAAAATCTTGAATCAAGATAAGCATGCGAGTCGAGGCGTCATAATAATAATGTTAGTTACTATTAGTGACGAGCACTGACGCGATTGATAGGAGAGACGATATGGAAGACTTAGTCACTCGGAGTGCGGTGCGCGTTACCGTTGGTGATGATCCATCATCTTAATCGCGACCACATTGCCATTCGCCGTTCACAACAATCGGCAATGACACGCTTTCCAGTTTTCATGCGAGGAGTCACTCTACCGTGTTGTTGCAAGGACGTTCTCATCCCGCTGTAACGTTACTCATTATGTTACATTTGTAACGAGTCCTTTCAATTCTAATGCGACCGAAGTATTTTTAACTATGGCAAGCAGCGCCGAATACTCGATTATCGAAGGGGGAACAAAATTGGGGAAATGTAATTTCACGTCGAGCGTAAAATCGACGTGGCATCGGGGCCCCTCTTTCCTGCCACTCCTTCGATCTAAATCTATTATAATTTTATGGTTAAAAAGGAAAGAGGAACAATGAAAGGGAGATGGGTGGCCAGATCTCGGGAATAAAATTATATCATTATGCGTCCGGTAAGTGTGTCATTGTCGATAATTGGGAAAAGAACAATAATCTCTCGTCGCTCGTCAAATAGCTTTCCGCGGAAAGTTATTTCATTTCCTAAAATCTTAAGTTTGTAATTTTCACTTCGTCTTTCATGTTTATTAATATAAAAAATACTCCGTGCGTGTTAGTAGAATTTAAACGATAGTACATTTAACCGAAATCATTATGATCTATTGAAGTAGTAAATTGAAAATATGAAATGACGAATATTAATGGCTTGCGATGATGAATATTTTATGGTGGACATTATTTGGTAAAAGTAACTCATTCTCCTTCGATTTAATAAATGGAATTATAAAATTTTTACCATCATAGTTATAGCTACAGCACTCATAAATATTCTATATTACACACATGCTTAATGTCTTCAGTCATTACTTATTAATGACGTGATAGTTGAATAATTTTATTTTAAATACCTACTATGAAATAAAAGCCTCCAAAACATTACGTTTAAGATCCACTTTTTGCATTACTCAAAGGGCTAGTTGTTTGCATTCGTATTAAAGAACGTAATTAGAGATACGAAGCTTGTGTAACGTTATGGAATAACGTCCATTCGGCATCCTAAAGACGTATAGGTCTAGGAGAAGCTATATTATAAAAAAAAAAAAAAAAACAAAAAAAAAAAAAAGAAGGCTACTGAAATTGATATAATGTTAAAAGTGTTCGTTAAAGAAGTTCGTTAGTATAAAATAATAAGATATTTATTTCGTTATATTTAGTACTGTACCATACCAAAGCGAGTGTAATCATATTTCATTTTAAAAATACTTGTATTCCACATTACGAGTTTGACAAAATAATGATGCGTGAGTCACATGTCTCATTCTCTCTCTCTCTCTCTCTCTCTCTCTCTGTCTCTCTCTGTGTCTCTCTGTCTCGCACACGCGCGCACGCAAGTGTAAGCTAAGGAAAGAAAAAGTGGTTTCCTCTTCGCGTCGTAAAGTGGGACAAACGAGGCATAAGCTCGTAATTGGTAATTGGGCTACGCACGAGTAGCACTCAACCGGATTCTACGATTATCGACGCGTATCTTGGAAAAGCGAGGTAGTTTTCCGGATTTTCTTACATTCCAATTGATTTCGCTAAAAAGAAAATCAATACCCACCAAAGTTGATATTTGTCTCCTGATTCTTAGGAAATCGCTTTCAAACGTGGACATATTTTTGACTTTTGGCAAGTGCTTTTGCGCTTTGCGAGTCGTTTATTTTTCCATACTCGTATCAAACATATATTAAAAGTATATGACCGTATTTGTTTTTGTTGTTTTTGTTGTTTTTGTTGTTGTTGTTGTTGTTGTTGTTGTTGTTTTTGTTGTTGTTTTTGTTGTTTTAATACGAATAAGAAGCGCTTAGACAAGGAGAAATATTGTCACGCAATAGCCGTGGATTCATAGACTTTAATATTTTAACATAACGATAAAGCTCCATCGATTTATTCATATCCATGCGAGGCTATTTTATACAAAAGTATCCTTTCGTAAGAATATTGAAACTGAAAATATAAATTTTATATTTTATTATATATATATATATATATATATATATATATATATTTATTTATTAATAATAATAATATCCACATTATTTGCTAATCAAGTAATTTAAATAATTATTTGTGAATTTTTGAAGTTAAATTATAATTGAAATTTAAATGCTTTTAATCTCTGCCTCCGCGCTATCGGAAATGAAATTCTATCTCATGTAAGGATAATAATTTTGTTTTGTACATTATTATAAATAAGATTTTGCTTTTATAAAAGTCATTGAGAAAACTACGACTTTAGGTTCTACGAGGAAATTCCTTTATCGGAAGGGGGCACAAATGTAAGTTTCTTTAATTGTTTCTTGGAATGGGGTGGGCTCAGTCGAGAATGATTGATCAACGCGAAAAACAACGATCGTATGGTCAAACGCTGATGTGATGTTGATATGTTGATCGGGAATTTATATCGTTTTGTCCCTTTTATTATTTAAAAACTTCTTCCCACTTAATCTTTTGTTTTACCGATTTTTGCTACAAAGAATAATGTTAAGCTGCCTAATAATGTTAAACATATTATTATTTTTCTGTTGTTGTCCTGTTGAATATCCATTAGGAGGACGTTTTGACATCTGATTGACAAAAATTTTTGTTATTGTAAAAAATACACGTCATCCAAAAATTACATTAATTAAAAAAGAAAAAAGAAAAAAAAATTAAAAAAAAAAATAATGTTATTTCTATACAATGGCTTTTGGCTAGAAATTCGTTTTCTCGATGAAATTACCTTGCATCGATTAATACGTTTATTGTGCTGCTAAGAGCGAGAAAAGCATGTTTTATCGTATTGTAAATTAGCGATTTACATCTTAATTGATTAGGGGAAAAATTCCTTTCTCACCTATACTATATCCGTGATAACGTATAACGTAGATGTAGGATCGATGTAAATACACTATTTTTCATAAGTGAGTGCCACGATTGTCTATACGATTTATACTTTCATTTTGTTTTTGTTCACATTTGGTTTCTCCATATTTACATGAAGATTATAGTATTGTTGATGTTTCATAATACTTTCCACACTGAAGCTATAAATTCGTAAAAAAAAAAAAAAAAAAAAAAAAAAAACTCCGTACGAAGTAATCTTTGTAATTTTACAGCCCACGTGGCGTCTTTGGGGCGAGGAAAAGGGTGATGGCGTTATATACACGGTTTACCTCAAGAAGGTTCGTTATCACAGACCGACACGAAGTCTCTCAACTTCGGTAAGTTTATTTTCAGTTAATTTATTTAATAAAAGTACTTATATAATACATTGATAAGAAATATTTACCGAATATCAAACTTTATGCACATGTATGTAGATACTTAAGAGATTACTTTTTTCAAACTATTACCGAAATTTTCAACTACGTCATTATAGTATATTATAGCTGAATAAATATACTTTTATAAATAATTATTATTACAATAAATTATAATTTTAATTCAATATAATCAGATCCATGTAATCTTAATCAAGTATTGCGTTTAAGCGCTTATCGGGCGAGAGTTACACAATTAAAGCGATAATCATTTGTGCAAAAGCTTCGAACTTGAGAAAGTTACTTAAAATGTTGTAAATTGCAGTATACAACATGTATTGTATTAATTTAATAATACAATTTGATAACGAGTACGATTGAATTTTTCAACTTTATATTTTTGAATCAATTGAATTTGATTAGTGATTATGATAAATATATGTTTATTATTATAAAGAATTAGATTTTAATAATATTTGTATAAACGCATTCTATTTATCATTGAATTTCATTAATTAATAATAATGTCGAATTGTCATTAAATTGTATAAATTTATAGTAAACTAACTATATTTAGAAATTTTTTGTGCTCGATAAAATAAGATCATTATATACTTATAATTTCTTTTAAATGCTTATTTGTTTAGACTGAACGATATATATATATATATATATATATATTTTTTTTTTTTTTTTTTAATGAATATATGTAGATGAAAATAGTATAGAAATATGTAAATAGTATAAAATGAATTTAGTACGTACAATGTCGGTGTAATATAAGCGAAAAAGCTATAATTCTCGTTAGATCATAAAATACTTTTTATACAAATAATAAGTCAAATGAAATTTAAGATTCAAAATTGAAATAAACCTATGAAATTTAAATCATATTTACCCGATTTATTTTTAGCTTTTGAATGGACTATTATGATGGTTAATAGAGATATAGATAGTAAATAAAAAAAAAAAAAAAATTAAATAAACACAAAGTAGTAAAGCCTATTGTATTTTTATAGCTAATTACATACATTCCATTATTATTATTTTTATTATTTACATAAAATAGCTTATTAATTAAGATTTATTATTACGAGTGTAGTGCCTTATAATTTTTATGTAAAGCTTATTGTTATAATTGATAACAATATAATTAAATCAATGATTGCTAATTTCCCTAATTATCTAATTTTATTTATCCTAATTCATTATGATTTTGCAGCCAAAGCCGTAAACTTTATTGTGAACATTATGTTTCCGTAATCAAGCCAATGTCAATGTTACAAGTCAACACTATAAATCAAGTACATAAAATTTTCGCTTCTTTGATATATTCTTTGATATATCTGTAGCCATAAAAACTTTCACATACGTAATAATATCTTTGATCTCTCCAAGATTGCAAATGCATAAAATTCATAAAAAAAAAAATTGCCGAAACATCATCGTAGGATTTTAAAGAATAACGAATTACACGAACGTTTATTGGCTATTTAATTGTATCAAAAGCTTTATCATCCCCCTGATTTCTTAACGCACATAATAATTTAATCAGTTTAATCAGTCCACGATTACATCGTGCCATAAATCTACGTCAATCTCCAAGTTATTTTTATTCGAGCCGTGGTAGCCGAGAGCGATGAGGCGTTTGCACTCGGGGGAAAAAACAAACAAACAAACAAATAAAAAAAAATAAAAAAAACCATTGCCAGGGCAGGCGAACGAGCGCACGAAATTCGCATTGATTTTGATGGTGATGTTTTATGTGATGTCGATCGATAGGAATCGGACGACGAGATCTCGCACCTAGAATGGGAGACGGTGCGAGTGCGATTTCTGAAGGCCGGTACGGTACAGCGGCTGGTGGAGAGCCTAGCGAACGACGACGGCGAGCTCGAGTCCACCTACATAAACGTCTTCCTGGCGACTTACCGAGCGTTCACTACGCCCCCCGAGGTCCTCGAGCTTCTTCTCGTACGCTACGACTCGCTGGACGAGGCCGCCAACGCCCAGCATCGCAAGACACTCGTGCAGGCGCTCCACGTATGGCTGGACGCCTATCCAGGTGACTGGCGATCGTCACCTGGTCATCCGCTCCTCACCAGACTTCTCGACTTTGCGCATCGACGACTTCCTGGCTCGGAGCTCGAGCTCAAGGCTCGTCATCGACTCCACAGCTTCTCCCAGCCCGACGATCAACTCGGTAAGTGTCTATACAAGATTTTCCCTCGACGACTACCAAGTTATCTACCTAAAAATGACACTTATGACAATGGCGGTGAAATACAAGTTATGTCCCCCCCCCCCCACATTCTTACGTATTGCGTGCTCTCTTGTTTGTTGGTATAATTATTCGAAAGTGCCAATCGAACTTATTACTTAGATTATTATTTGTTGGAGCGTATTTTAGCGCAAGTTAAAAGAAAAAAAGAAGGACAATATTCGTCGGCGAGATAAAAAGGCAAAAGTCTTTGCAACTGCATTTCATCACGGTTTATATTTTTTTTACGAATGAACGAACACAGACGTTTTGTATGATTTTCAATAGTTTTATTCGCCTTTATTACGGCTCGCTCCACAATTCAATCTTCTCTTTTCACATTCGACGTTAATAAACATAGTGTTCAATGTGAGAGAATATCCACCTCGTATCACAATCATACCCACCCAGCCATCCAGCTATCGTAAACGATCATTACACATAGATCATTATGGTCGTATACTTTTTACTTTAACTCGGATAAATGTCGAGCGTAAGTCTACAATTACACGCGCTTTTATGAAAGTCGTTGTTTGCGATCGTATAATTAAACTGTATGTCCAAGGACCAGATCTCCTATCACCTAATGGCATCATAAACGAAGTATTTTTATTTAAGAATAATGAAAGAGAAGCATGACGGAATGAATTTGTTGTTTATAAGTTATATTATGACTCTTGCCTAAATCCTGTTCCCATAAATTCATAAGATTTTCTAATCTTACAATGTCAGCTACAGCTACAATGTTAGATATTGTTGAAGATAATTAAGATTTTAGTATAAATAGTCCCTTAAGTTTTAACTTAAGTTTGAACATAATTATATTGCCTAATTAGATCGAAGAGATATAAACAATTTTACAAGCGTTTAGTTTATAATTGAAATCAAAAGTTGCAAGGACAATTGCCTCTCGACACTCTCTAGTAACATAAAAACAATCGCGTAGGGCAACATTAGGAATTGCTAATTTTGATGATTAAATGAAAAGTCCTGTCGCAGGTAATTGTTACTAATTGAAAATTATGTTTACGCACGATAAACGTGCTGTGCGGGCTTCATATTAACGGCACTCGATAAACAAATGAAATACAATTAACATACGAGCAGCACTAATAGATACACTCGATTCTATATAGTTATAGCATAAATATAATAAGTAAGCGATCGCTAAATACTAATGGCATCTCTCTCATTGACAGACAATTCGTGCACGATATACGACAATGGGCGGCTCGGGCTCCATTGCAGTGGCGATACGTTCGCCGACAGTTGGTCCAGCTACTCGTTCCCGGAGGTCTCTCATCGGCACTTGGCCGAGCAACTCACGCGAATGGACGCGGAGGTGTTCCGGAAGCTCGTAGCCCACCAATGCCTCGGTGCAGTTTGGTCGAGGCGAGGCGACCGCTCCCGCAGTCACGACGCCGCGACGGTCCTCGCTACGGTCAATCAGTTCAATGCCGTCTCACTGCGCGTCATCTCGACGATTCTCCTTGCGGACGAGGGAACCAAAGCGCAGGAGCGCGCTCGCGTCATCGAGACCTGGATCGACGTAGCCCAGGAGCTGAGGATACTAAAGAACTTCAGCAGCCTTAAGGCCATCGTCTCCGGCCTCCAAAGCAATCCCGTCTATAGGTTGGAGAAGTGTTGGCAGTGCATGACGCGTGAGAAGCACGAGCTCTTTCGCGAACTCGAGAGGATATTCTCGGAGGAGAACAATGCCTGGACGCAGAGGGAGCTTCTCATAAAAGAGGGCACGGCAAAGTTCGCCGACACCGCCGGCAGGAGCGACAGGCACTTGCAGAAGATCTTCCAGAAGCAGAATATCCACGCAGGCGTAAGTTTGCCGTGCGTCGCCGAGGTCGAGATTTCAGCCGATAAGCCCGCGAATGGCTTCTTCTTTTTTTTTCTTCTTTCTTTTTTCTTCTTTTCTTTTCTTTTTCTTCTTCTTTTTTTCTTCTTTTTTTTTTTTTTTTTTTTCAATACTCGACCCGTGCATCTTTCAATTTCATCATTTTATGATGATTTACGGGCCTCTTTTCTCTTTAAGAAGTAGCTTGTTATTTAGAAGCCGGTATTCGGCGGACGTAATGGGATGGAGGAACTTTTAATTCTTAAGAAAATTCTGCGCTTGGGAAAGAGGTGGAGGAAAATTTGATTAAAGTTCGCTTAAAGTGAACTTATTTATCCTCTAAATGCACTTAAAGAAACTAAATAAGCAAGTAGAAAGAAAAGAAAAAAGATCAAACTGGATACTATAGTCGTATCACCACTGTAGAATTTTTAAATTTTTATTTTTCTCTTTACAATTTACAATTTTTCAATTTTTTTAATTTTTTTTTTCTCCTAATTTAACTTACTCGAACGCTGGAAAAAGTTTTACAAAATTTCTTTCGAGGAACGATCGTCATTTTTTAATTTCCGTACTTTAAGCACATCTAAACAATTACATGTGCTTACAAAAATTAAGCAATTCAAGCGATGCTAGTGAATTTATTCGAAAATTTTATCGTGTGCGCACACATAATTCGTAATTGCAAATATTGGTGAAATTAATATAACCTCTAATCTCTTTTATTCTTTAATCCATCGACAAACGAGTTCTTATCTTTATTTAAAAAAAAACTTTATACTGTATTAATTTTTTCCGAGCACGGTTAATCTTTCTTTTATCTAACGCTTTACATCACGACCCACGAATTTCAACAAATTATTCATGCAAATTCACAAGATTGTGAAATTATCAATATTTTACGGACACAGATTATTTATGAACGTAAATAAATATAAATTTTATAAAGAAAAATTGCTAATAGTATGTATATATATATTTCATTAAATATATATATCAACAATATCTTTAGTGTTTAGAAGAAGAAGAAGAAGAAGAAGAAGAAGAAGAAGAAGAAGAAGAAGAAGAAGAAAACGTATTATGTGTGGCCAAACAAGTTCTTTCGATAAATTTATTCTACCGTAGAGAAATAAAATTATCAGCACATAAATAATAAGCGGTAAACTGATTACTGAATAAAAATAAATATTTAAATTCTTCTATCTAATGCAACGAAGCTTATTTGGCCAACGATATTGTCGTGTCTTGTATTAATGGACTTGCGATTGATTTTGCTAGCGCCGAAGTTGCGCTAGGGTAAACAAAATTTTAAACTCGAGAGCTCGAATTTAATAAAGCTGATAGCTTTATTTATAAAAAATGCTAATTAACATTCGACCTACTAATAAAGTTTTTCGCCTTCATCGCAGAACATAAGTTACGGTACGATCCCTTATCTCGGCACTTTCCTCACGGACTTGACGATGATCGACACTGCCATTCCCGACACGATAGCCGAGGGTCTCATCAATTTTGATAAGCGCCGCAAGGAATTCGAGGTGCTCGCACGTATTCGACTTCTCCAAGGCGCCGCCAATGCCTACAACTTCAACGTGGATCCGCTTTTCGAGCGCTGGTTCCACTCGATTGTCGTACTCGACGATCGGGAGTCCTACAATCTCAGCTGCCAAATCGAGATTCCGCCCGCCGGCAGTACAATTAACAATCGCTCCACTGCTGCTAAAAAGAAGCTTCAACAGAATCACAATAACTCGCAACAGCAGCATCAGCATCAGCATCATCATCACAATCACTCGAATAATCATAATCAGTCGGGGCATCGGAAAAACGATTCCATAGCTTCGACATCGAGTTCTAGCAGTTCGCAGTTTTATTGCGATCTCGACTCCCTACCTAGGTAATAATAACGAGCCTTATACGTGTACAAAACCTATCCTATACGATTAATTGTTTATGTTGAAGCGTATCTTGATTGAATTTAGAAGAATTTTAAAATTTTTCATATGTTCGAGCTCGTTAGCATAATACATGTATCTATTATAGTTATTTTTATTATATAATTTATTATATATATATATATATATATATTATAAGGAAGCGGTGAGGGCAATCATAAATTAGAGTGAGAGAGAGAGAGAGAGAGATACGTTTAATTAACAGATTGACTTTTTAATTAAATATCTTTGCATTACGATTGCAATTTAGAATGTTTCTTTATTCTCGTACCGGAAGATTTTATATTCTTTAATAAATTAGACGCTCGAACGAGTGATTATAAGTTCTTTACAAGTTACTTAAAATAATAATAATAATATTGTATATATATATATATATATATATATATATATATATATATATATTTATATATATAGTATAACGATTGAATATGAATCGACAACTATAAATAACATATGATATTATGTTTAGATATTAAATTTAGATAGATTATATGTAATTTCAAATGATATCCTTACAATCGATTAACGAATCAATTTTCTTAATTATGAATTTAGTTAAGAAGTTAAATTTGAAGAATTTGATAATTGATATTTCTTAACGTAATTATAGAGCTGCATAGAAACGTCTATCGTATAACGTATTTTAGAATAACTAAAATTTATGTAAATTCATGCCAAGACGAGCGCAAGAAAATCTATAGCTCTGCCACATAAATTTACATACGGAACATAAAGTTGGCAACGCGAGCTTCGATATAACTTTCTTAATTTTTGTAAATTCAAGTACGGCTTTCAATGCCCAATGATAAAAATAAATCACGTGATTATTTGCCATTAATTTATAGCTCGCCGCATAATTCTCTGGACAGGCGCATCTCACCCTCTCAGATGTCTTCCTCGTCTTCCTCCTCGTCGCTACCGTCCCTCGACATCTCTCTGAGCTCCGGCGGGGGTAACGGCGCCGGTAATAGCCAGAGTCGATTGAACGTGTCCCAGGGCGGCAACTCGAATGGCACTGCGGCAGGATTACCGAGCCCCAGCCACTCGCACAAAAGCTCCCCCGATTTCTATATTATCAAGGTGACAATCGAGAGTGACAACGTGGAGACCGAAGGCGTCATCCTCTACAAGTCAATCATGCTGTCGAACAATGAGCGCACTCCCCAGGTCATACGGAATGCAATGCTCAAGCTCGGCATTGAGGGCAACCCCGATCAGTTTACTCTGGCTCAGGTGCTGCCCGACAGGGAAATGGTATTGCCTAATTCGGCAAATGTCTATTACGCGGTCAACACGGCACATAACCTTAATTTTATTTTAAGACCAAAAAAGACTTGATAGAACTCAGGTCGCAACAACACAATCGAACATTCTAGCCTTTAAGTATTTACAAACAATAGTTCTGGGTCTTATACGCTGTACTAATAAAATTCACTTTTACAAGTCTGTTTGCACGAGTCTAATGTAATTCACCGTATTATCGTCTACATTCAATTTGATTTATTTACTGTTTCTAAAAACTACGTGTATATATGTATATATACACTTCTTGTTTTCTTTTTCTTTCTTTCATTGTTTTTTTTTTTTTTTGTTTTTGTTCGTTATACAAATTTCATATAGTACACTGTTTATAAAATTTATAGCTCATTTTTTTTATGTATTATTAATTAATTAGTTTCAATAGTTTATAATATAGAATTAGTTGACTTGTTATTGAAAAGTGACTTTTATGCATTAGTTTGAGAAAAACGACTTACAGTATCTGCGTAAACCATGACAATTCAATGACCTTTTGCAATAGGTGACTCTGTATTATTTAGTTATATGTAAAGAAAAACGATTAATCGTGCGTCATTTAAAATTCGCGTAATATTTTTTTTTTTTTATTTATTATCTTCTATGAGTGTAGTTGTGATAGTTTAAAGTATATTTAATAAAACTGACTAGAGGACAATTCGCTATTGTATGTTTGCGTGTAATTATATCGATGGTACAATTAGTGTATTATTGATAATATAAAATTAATTTGTTGTTTATACAAACAACAGAGGACCAGTGACCTTTTGTAAATATTTTAAATCCGATCGAGTATGTTAAATAAAGCAAGCCTCGATGAATAAAGTACAGAATGCGGTATAAATTTTGCTAAAATATCTGTTATATTATGGCTAATGAAGAAGATAGATTTATAAATTATTTAATTAGAATGTGAAAGCACTTAACTTGTATGAGAAAAGATTGATAAAATAATCTTATTTAAATGAAATATCTATAGATATAATAGATTGTAATTTTTCTTTATCGTGAATTTTGAAAGTTAAAAAGAAATTCTGTGATACTTTGGAATCGTGTTTTATTATTGGCTTTGAACAAAAGTCTGAAAAACTTGTTAATAAATACTCCACTATTTATTCTATCAACGCTCCGAATTGTGATTCTTAGATAAAATTTGTAAGGTCTTCTATACACATTATTGAAAAACAAAATTAAATGATTAAAATTACACTGGATACCGAATATATATATACATATATATATATATATATATATATATATATATATATATATATATATTGTTTTAGTCTTAGGCCATTTTGTACTTACTTCTTCGTCGAACTTTAATATTAATTGCAGTTACTCTCTTTTTAAGAGATATTCATATTTAAATAAAAATCATAAAAAGTGCCCATCCAAAAATTTTCACTCTTATTATTGTTTTTCCTAGCCAACCAAGCCAAGCTAATTATTTCATCCTATAAATCATCTTATTTATTATATTATAGTTTTGTTAAAAACCTATGAAGAGCAATTTTTACTACTAAAATACTTTCTTTCATATTCTAATATCACAAGAAAATACAATACTTAGGCTTGTAGTTTATAATAATTTTTAACATCACTGTAAAAATTAAATTTTACCTAATTTACAATGGTTTTAAATTTATTACTTATTATCATATCGATGTATACTTATTTTATTTATATTTTCAACGTTACAATAATCAGTTATGGGGTCCTTAGAATTCAATTAAAAAAATGAACATTGTAATTAAATATTATATTGCTTTCTATTACTCTCTCTCTCTCTCTCTGTCTCTCTCTCTCTCTCTCTGTCTCTCTCTCTCTCTCTCTCTCTAAACGCTAGCGGTAGTTAATAATACGTGGGTATATATGCTCGATACCTATAAAAAAATTTTTAAAGTAGAAGAAGAAAATTGGCGTGGAAAAGTCGTAAGTTGAAGAAAGAAGGAAGGAGAAGGTTAAACCTCGTGCTCTCGCCTATAGTTTTAAGACACGCTAACCTGTTGACTATGGATCCTGCTGCTGGAACAACGTTTAACGGACATTTAAAATTCGAGTATGTACTTTATATCCGCTATTGCTAATCATTTTTGGAAATTCATTTTATAAACTTTTAATCAAAGACCATTGCTGTTGAGTATGCCAACGCTAGTTTATCTCAAAATATTTATGTCTTTTGAATAATGTTTTTCAACATATAAGTGAACGCAATTTTAGTTTAAAATTCATAACTACAATTATGCGTAGATGCAAACCAATAAATAATATATAAGAACAATATTTACCAATGATAATAATTATTTTTCAATTGATGGTTTAACCGTATTGATGATAATAAAAGAAGGTAGACATAACTTTTATTCATTCTAATACACTTATAAATACATTTAAAAGGAGCGTGAATAAGTTTGGCAAATTTGTTATAAAATTTGACCATAATTTGTCGAATTAAAGACGATTGACGTAACCATAAACGAAATTCTTCTATAAAAATAGAGGAGAATTTTAAGATCTATATTGATTATAGATTGATAGCAAATTTTTGAATTGTTAAATCGAATTCCTGAAATTTGACACACGACGAGACTGTACGTTTAATTTACTCAATTATTTTTACTCGTTCACCTATTTCCATCATTCGCCTTTCATGTTTAAATTAGATTTAAATTAAAAAAAAAAAAAAAAAAAAAAAACATTAATGTCCAATACCATCTGAATATTAATAATAATATTACAATTAATGGTATATTGTTAAATATATAAATAAAAAAAGTACTTTTACTATAATTTGTTGATAAACTCTCAAGGTATAATACTTAGCTGAATAAATCACATTAATCATTGATCTTTATATTTTTAATGAAGGGGTTGTAAAGTTGGATACTTATAAGTATGTATTTGCATAATTTTTAATGATAAAGGAAACTTCAAATTAGTTTATTAAAGAAATAATTTGGGCATAGATATACAATTTAAATGAACAAATAATAAGAGATCGGTAATGAAAAGTTTATTTCATAAATCATTTTGTTTCGTTTATATACATAAGTTATTTATGGAATTTAAGTTTCGACAAATACGTTATTTTTATTTCCTAATCTAAATAAGCAGATTTACGAATTATAAATTATAAATAAATAAAGAATAATTAAGTGAATAGGTTAATCTTTGTTTTTAGCATGATATTACTAAATTACATTTGAAGTATTTGGAAACTGTGACAATTCAAGCTTTATAATATATTTCTTAATCTAAATAATAAGTATTTAATTTTCAATTATCTCAAAATTCGTAAATATACGTATTTTTAAAAATACAAATACTTGAAATAAAATTAATCAAATGATAAATGGAAGTTTAAATATATATATATATATATATATATATATATATATATATCTTGAGGATACTCGTAAAGATGAATATTTATTCATAAAATTAGCAACAAAAAAAAAAACAACAAAAATTAAATTAAATACTTGCTAACAATGTGGAAAGTAAATGATTTGAATTTGATAATTTAACTAGGGAGTCATTGAATTATATAAGTGTAATATCCTTCAATCTCGAAATTTGATCAGCAAACTCCTACTAATAATACTTGAGCGCTCATTAAAGATATTAATTTTTTTTTTTTTTTTTTTTTTTTTTTTTTTTTTTTATGAATAGGATTGTTTCAGCTTGGATAGTTGCTTTGAAATTATTATTTCAAGAGTGTTTGAATATTCATAAAACTTTTTTGTCAGATTGAGATCTAAATAAATCATGAAAAATAAGATGAGCAAAATGAGAATGAGATAAACCAAGAAGAGAAAGAGAATACTACTGCAATTTTAGTGAATGAGGACTAATTATTCAAATGCTTTTATTCGACTTTCGACGGCGATTGGATTTCTCTCGATAATAATTCTCGATCATTGTATCAATTTTAATTACAAAGAAGAATACGTGAAATTATTCTAATTATTTCAAAGTATTTTTCTAATTATGAAGTAAATTAATTTAAAAATTCCTCAAATAAAACAGTTTTACAATTATACATTTGAAATTATGCATATGTGAATAGAAAATTATTAAGTAATGCATCAGAATGTTTCAACACTCAATTTATATATAATTTAATAGAGCTGCATGTGATTGGAGACTATCAACTTAAGTTAAAAACTATGCTTTATAAATAAATTCATAGACAAAATATCTTATATAATACGTATTATCGTTTTTTTGAAAATCAAAAGCTATTTTTAAATAGCAATTTTTTTAAGAGAATGTCAATTTATTAAGATTATTTGTATCCACAATTAATAAACGTATTGCTGATATAATTAATCGATGTAATGGAATATAATACAATTATACATATACGATATAATAAGATTAATTTAAAATATTTATAATAATATAAATTCAGTAAAATTATCAGTACGATATTCGGTCCTTGATTCTTTTTTATTTTAGATAATTGAAAATAAATGACCACCCGCTTCAAATATTAGCATAATAAAATTTATTACCACATTGGTCAAATAAACGTCGTATTTTTATAGAAATCTAATTAGCCGATGGTTATTTTAATTTAGCGACATTTATGAAATTATATTAATTAACATATTTCACAGTGTAATTAGTTTTCATTTTATAGAATATTCACGACTTATATCGTAATGATTTTTGTTCTATTATGTTGGAAAAATTTTTCAAATAAAATTTATATTTCATAATATATATATATATATATATATATATATATATACAGTGTGAGTGAGAGAGAGAGAGAGAGAGAGAGAGCAGATACAATTGTAATAAAATTTCTATCAATTTAGAATCAATTCTAATTCTAAAGAATTTCATTCTTTTGATAACGAAGGAAGCATAAATAAAATGTTGAATAAAAATTTTTAACATCACGAGTCTTATATATTGAAAAATAAAATGAATGATGAATATTAATTTTTTTATATAAATATCGTCGAACAATACGATATTTATTTTAAGTTCTATACATATAATTTTCATTAACATCGGAATAAATATAAAAATAAAAATAACTTAGTCGGTATACCTAAAATTATACAATTATTACATTATTTAATTATATTTCAGTCAATTTAAATATAGTTTATCTGATTTGTAATTTAATTGAAAATTTTATTATAAATAAATATATAAAAATCCACATAAAGTCAATAACTAATAATAAATTATCG